AAAAAAATAATAAATATTTAACAACTCTAAACATAACTAGTAACCAAAGTCAGTGGAAAACAGTTTAAATGAAAAATATATATAAATGTATTACTTACTTATTTTATATCAAAAGTCATAGAAATTCTTTAGGACAACAAATAATCAAACAAATGGTTTTTGGTATAATCGCTTTAGAAGAGATAATGAGTGAATGATCCTGAAATTGATGTGACGTTCTTTTATAGGGGTCAAAGATCTTGTTTAGACAAGTTTTGGTTGGTTTAAACAGGTACTACACAAATAATGTCGGAAATATGCTTATCTAAGCGTCTGGTAGACGATGATAACATTCATAGAAATTATAATGTCATAACGACAGATGTTGTCTTTGTTCTCATAAAACGCGTAGGCGTGAAAAAAGACAACGTTGTCATTTTTCTCATAAAATGGATACAACAGTGACCATTAATATATTGTAACATCTTTGGAAATATGCTGACCTAAGCGTCTGGCATCCGATGATAATATTCACACGACAATAATCATTACTATGCGGCGACCTCTTTGATGTTTGAAATATGCTTAGCTATGCGTCTGGTAGGCAATGATAAAAATTCTTAGAAAAAGCAATTATTTTTCGTAAAATGTTGACGGTAATGTGGAATTATAATATGGCGGTTGGTTTCAAGTTAAGTTTCATTTCCCCGTCGCTCATTACATGTTGAGGAAATCTCCCTCCCCTGACTTAGGTTAGTTTTCATTGGGTTTCACACATTGTGCGCACCTCACACCCAATTGTCTTAATAGAGTTTGTTACAAATCGTTCAAGGAATAGTCAAGTGTGGTGGCGGCGGTCGCTACTTGACTTACACTATTTCAATGTAATGTATACATTAAATGATAAACGCAGTGAAGACTCGGGGGTGCTGGTAGTGGGGGAGCGACTTTAAATGTAATACCTCTAGTTATAAGTATAAAAAAATTGTCAAATTAAATATAATAAAATAAAATGCGATACATATATTATTATTTTAAAGGCGCAGTAGAAAATAATAATAATAATAGCGATTATACTATTATAACAACCGATACATAGTTAATTCTAAAAATATATTACCAATTATAGTAATTAACTAGTATCTAGTATCTAGTATATCTAGTATCTAGTATATCTAGTATCTAGTATATCTAGTATCTAGTATCGAGTATCTAGTATCTAGTATCCAGTATCTAGTATCTAGTATATCTAGTATATCTAGTATCTAGTATATCTAGTATATCTAGTATCTAGCTATATACTAAAATAGCTTCACCTGGAAGAGATTTTACGTTTTTTCTGCTTTAAAATTCCGATTTATTTGTATTGCGGTCTCCACACAATCTCATATCCGCTATGTTGTATTTCTTTATGCTAATAAGTAATTTCGTTAGGGAGTTCCATAAATTCTTTGAATTACATGAATTTGATTGTAGTAATGATTCCTAAGGGAAGGCGTACTTTTAATTTTTTAATTTTAAGATTAATTTCAAACAATACGACAAAATGTAAAAACTATAATTGAATCAAATTAATCATAGACGGGAATATTTATTTAAAAAAACATTATAAATGTTGTAATTTTGATTATAAGTAATGTTTCAATAAGTAAACCATTATGTTATGATAGTAAATGAAGTTCAGAAATATTGTTCGACTTAATACGTTATCAAAATCGTTTTTAGTTAAAATAAACCCCATCGTACACAGTAAACCCAACAAATTCAAACCCACGTGTTATCCAGCAAAGAGGCTGCAAAAGCGAAGTGGGGTCGGGAGCAAGTGATAACGGAAAAATGTGCAACCCCACCCTACAACAAATCCAAATCCGTCCGCTATTCTGCAGAAGCTACAAAAGCGAAGTTGGATCGGTATAAGANTTTATTTTCTATTGATTTTATTGATGTAATAATGTATGTAACAAAGCTATTGGTGTTGTACTCATTACTTTAATTCTCGTATATAAAAGGATAGAGCAATCCGAGTATAAAACATATATAAAAACAATTATTGTGATGTTTACATGCAGAATAATTAAACAATAATAATATCGCAGACGAAAATATGTTGTAAAATGAAAAAAATTAAAAGGAGTTCATAATAATATTATTATTATTTGTTTTTTCTATGTAATAAAAAATAAAAATATGTAAATATTAAAAAAAGATGTTGAATTCGTATAGCGCAAAATTTGCTATTGACATTTCAAACCTAATTCGTACGATGAACGTTATTCGTATTGAGATGAGAAAGTTAAAATAAAGGCAAATATTTAATATATTAAACCGTTAATACAGAACAGGCAAAAAGAAAAATTATTTGTTCAAATGTTTGTCTTAAAAAATGTTATATTACATTTGAACTCTTTAAGTGAAAATATATATAATAGATAATGTATGCGTATGTTAAACAATACAAAAATATGTATCACAAATGGTCGATAATAATTTCTAATGAAGCGTAGAAAGTAAGTTGCCGTGTATGATAATTTCCAGGAATTTCATGTCGGTCCCGCATAAGTTGATATTACTTTGTCGAAACGTTCTTTGTGGTACCAACGTCCTCCGAGTTATTTGTGTTAATTCGTTTGAGTTCTGGAAAAGAAATCGAACAAATAAATGTATTATAATATGCAAATAAATTTTAATTATAACGCATGACATTAGTTACGAATCCGTACGGCAAGCAAAAAGAGACTGTCATATCGACTTGTAATGCAAATATTTAAAAAATGTATATTACTGTTATTGTAATATTTTATTTAATGCCGCGAACGTTTAACGGATTTGCATTCAGAGAGAACCACGTGAAGGTTGTCATACAATCTCTCCGCACGAAACGGAAATTTCCCCGCCCGTACACGTGCCATTCGGGGTTCGAATGGCAAATGCACAGCACGGGAAAATAGCCGTTTCGAGGGACACACGGGTACACAGGCAGAATATTCGCATAAACGCCATAGTCGAGACCCGTCGCTGCCGACATAGCTAAGTGTCAGCAGCAATCGAGCTTCTTGCCCGGACTACGGTAGGTAGTCCGTTCAACAAACCCGATTCACCGCTGTCCAACGCGGACGATCTGGTCACTGAAGGACGGCGATCGCAAGTTTGAGCCAACGGGGACACAGGCATAAATGCCACAGTCAAGACCCGTCGCGGCCGACACGCAAAGTGCCGCCATAGTTTTCGTTTATTCCAATACTTCCCTGTACACGACGTTTTTCACAACGCACGGCCCGTCCACGGCCGACAAAGTGTACACCCTGATGGAATTCTGGTTGCGCACCCTCGAAAACGCCACGTACAGCTGTCCGTGGGCGAACGGCTGTACCGTCAACGACAGGCCGACACGATCGAACGTCTGGCCCTGCGACTTGTTGACTGTCATGGCGTAGCAGAGCCTCACGGGGAACTGGTAACGACACATGCGACACGGAATGTCGCCGTCCCCGGACGTCCTCGTCTGAACGATCGGAACGACTATCTCCTCGGCGTCGAGATCTGTCAACAGTTTAGCTTTAAAATTATGTTGCCTGAGCTCAGTAATTACCAGTCTGGTGCCGTTGCACAGCCGTCTGGCCGTGTCCAGGTTCTTCAGCAACATGACGATCGCGCCCACCTTCAGAGTCAACCTGTACGGCGGCAAGTTGTCCGCTTCCAGAGTGTTGAGAAACTCTACGGGAAATTGGCCGCTTCGTCGTCGTCGTCGGCCACGACGGTGTCGGTGGCTGTGTACACCCTCTGCGATCCCGTGACTCGACTGCGGAGCACCTGATCGTTGATGTTCTTGCACTCGTCGTTTGTAACACACAAAACAATATGTTTAGCGTAATCGCGGACGTTGTCCAACGACATCGCCCGCGGATAAACAAAGTCTAAAAGAGATGCAAAAGATTCGCTTACCGCACCGGCCGGAATGGTCACGTATTCCAGTCCGTTGTTGAGCGAGCCCGCACCGAGCTGCAACAGCCAATCGGCGAAAGGTCGGTCGCCGTCGGCGCGCATGTTGCGCTCAAGCGAGTATTTTTCCATCGAGACCCAATAAACACCGTGCCGTATGGTGGCCGAAACGATTTGGGCCCGCGAACCGCGCTTCACGATGGGCAACGTCTGTCTGAAGTCGCCGGCGAACAGCACGGGTTTGCCGCCGAAAGGCGTGTCCGGCACGTTCATGACGTCCCTGAGCAACCTGTCGGCGACCCGCAGCTGCGACGTGGGCGACATGGATGCCTCGTCCCAAACGATCAGTGAGGCGGCGCGCAGAGTCTGCGCTTTCCTCGATTGCATTGCAAGATACGACGGGTCTTCTTGATCGTGCGGCGCCACTCTCACGCCGAACGTAGAGTGGACCTGTGAACAGAGTAAACGCACGTAGTCGGTTTCGAACACAATAAACGCAAACCATGTGACGGTCACGCGATAATGTGTAGAACACTCACGGTCTGTCCTCCCTGGATCAACGACGCGGCTATTCCAATATAAGCCACGGAAATCACGGTCCCTCCGCGGCTCCGGATAGACGAAATCAAACAGTTGTACAGGAAGGTCTTGCCGCAACCTCCGGCTCCGGAAACGTAGAACAACTTGGGTAATGAACGCCTGGTGTCGCCGACCGCCCACATGACGCGGTCGTATATCGTCCGCTGTTGTTCGTTCAGTAGACCGACCAACTCGACGACGTCTGCCGCCGTCGCGTTGTCGGCCGGCTCGTCCGGTACTAACAGAGCTCGATTCGGCTCGGGTAAACCGTAACCAGTGAGCGTCTTGTTTGAAGCGGCCAGGTGACGTTCCACGGCAGCCAAACACATGGCTTCGGATCTGTCGCGGTCTGCGTGTCGTCTGAAGTAATCTTCCATCAGATTATCCTGTAAATACAACGAACGATGAATAATTAACTCTATCGCACTTTCCGTTATTACGTGAGCTATATAAAAACAAAAAAAAAAAAACATAAAGGAAACATAAAGGAAACAAAACCGTCCCGAGTGCTTTGAATGAATATTGTCAATTATTTATTGTCGTCTAATATAAAATAAACGAAATATTTATTATAAATAATCAATTTAATAATAAATTAATTATACATATTACACACTATAGTGATTTGTATTGAGTTCATTCATACTCTGTGTATTACCACGACGTGTATTTACTTTAATAAACATTTTATGAATTTATATTTGGGGCTCGAACACTATTGAAGAAACATCAACTGTATCAATGAAAAGATATTCGTAATGAACACGTAAATTAATGTTACGAATAATATCGAATTGAAGTTGGAAATTTTAATTTTCCAGTCAATGGTATATTGCATGAAAAGTCGCGGTGTTGCAATAGCGTTGAATCTACTTATTTTCGCTGTTGTAGAAAAACGCTAAGAACACGACTCGTTACTATCGCGCATTAGATAAACGTTTAGTTTAAAATCCGATGAAGTTCGTTCGGTGGCGTACCGCCCTATTCATTTACTTATAATTATTGTTATTATTATTATCATTATATATGATTGATATTAATATGATAATTATCGTTATTAGTAAGAATAATAATAAGAACAATAATAATTATCATTATCGTTGGAAATTGTTTTATCCGTCAAAAATGGAATTTATAATACTTAACCGTGTAGGTATTTGTAAAAAATTGACTCGCACTAAAAGAACACTATCGCAATGCAAATTTAAAAAAAAGAAGTCGGACTACCATTCCACGGTCCTATAAATTGTCGACGGATAATCGTAATAGTTCCCCGTACTTAATGAATGATTTATACATTTGTAAAGTCGAGATGTCGTCATACCTTAAACTCGTCGTACAGTGTCGGCGGGTCGTTGGGCGAGCAATGCAAGAGTATCGTGACGAACAAACATCTCAACTGATGCGGCGTGTCGTGAAAGGAAGCTTCTCGTAAACACGCCCTCCACGTGTGATCGTCTCGCAAAATGCCCAGAGCCGTCGCGGCTTCGGCGTAAGTGTGGTACACCGTACCGTCAACCGTTCTCAGGTCCTCGAAACCGGCCGGTCCCCTGCGGTACAGCAACAACGTCCTCAAGTAAAAACGTTCTCTGTCGCAAGGACTGACCGCATACATTCTCGCGATGGTTGGATATGTCTGGGCTCGTTGGCGTAAACGCCATGACTTTTCCCTGCTATCCCACACGTAATAATTGGGTATTTCGTGATACAGGTACCGCCTGGCGTTGGCGTCGTTCCTGTTCAGTTGAAAGAATTCCGTGAGCATCGTGCGCACCCCGGCGCCGAAGAGCACCGCGGGCGGCACCTCACCCCGTCGGAAATAAACCGGTTCCCGGCCCTGAAGGTGAACCGGTAGTTTTACTACGGTGTGGCTCTGCTTTTGAATTTCAAACTTGGCCAAACGCCAAAACGCTTCTGGCGGACTCACGTATCTCGTGTTCAAATAGCTGAAAAATAAAACGAAACCAATTAAATTGTTTAAACGGACTTAAATGTGATTCGCGAGTTCATGTTTTTGTTATTATACCTCTGTATTTCGTTGTTGTTGAACACCGCGAACGTGGCGGCGTCGTGGCCCTTGTACACGTACTTGTACAGATACATTACGCTCTTCACCGAAGAGCACACCTCCACATTGATGTGGGCGTTGTATTTGGCCGTCAGATAAGGATTGTAAGGCACCACCCACTGACTGTCCAGGGTGGCCCGACGTACTTCGACGGTACGACCGTTGCCGGGTCGCCTGTACTCGGGGTAACCGCCGTCAGCGCGGTAAATCGTTTCCTCGCAATACGGTTTGGGGTATTGCTTGGTACAAACGTTTCTCTCTTGATCCCAACACGGCGACGTTCTGAAAAACATACCGCACGGACCGTGCAACATGTGGGCCTTAACCAAATGGTGCAGCACCGGCTGTGTAACGGGATCCGGTATGTCCGCTCGCACGATTCGGTCTACTTCTTCGGCCGAACGTATTTTAAACCGCTCTTCGAGAATGAGCAGTATGTGCGCATGCGGTAGACCGCGCTTCTGAAACTCGACCGTGTAGACGTAAGCCTCTACGCGGCCGAAAATATTCTTGCGCGTCAGATCGTCCATCAGCGCTTTGAGTTTGGCGTGAAACACGCGCGAAACCAAATCGGCCCTGTCGATGTACGTCAACTTGTCCGACAGGTTGTCGGCGATCTCTTTCCACTTCGGGTTGCAAGTGAAAGTGATGAACAGATCGGGCTTGCCGTATATCCGCACCAAGGCCATAGCGTCGTGATAACGTTTTTTCATGAACCTCACGCTGGCCGTGTGCGAAGCGGGTAGAATTACGCGGGACCCGACGTCGTTGTCCCTGGTCACGTCGTGTTGCCCGTTGATGTGATCCATCAGACCTTGGTAGGCCTCCACGAAAAAGTCCGACTGGTGCGCCTCGTAGTATTCAAACCGCTCCGATTCCATGCGCACGTAGTAATCGCACAGGAGCTGTTGAAACAGAAAACCACCGGCGTGTAACGGGCTGAACTCGCTATGATCGACATCGTTGTTGCCCCCGTAACGGACGGCCAGACGATAACACATGAACTCTCTGATGGACACGCGTTGCCTGTTGGTCGTTCTCCGCGCGCCCGTCTGTCCCATGTGTGGGTTCCATCCCCTTTCGCCGTTCGAAAAGAACAACGGGTATACCATGGGATCGATGTGTGGCGATCTCGTCGACAGCGTGCGCATCACGGGTCCGGCCGTCGCGCGGTCGTAAACCGCGAAATCCACTTGCGCCGGCGGCAAGCCGTTCTCGCCGGTGAACACCGCTGCAACTTCGTTGACCCGCGAGGCATTGTAGCGCCTCGGGTCGCTGTTGCGGTCTTCGATGAAGAACATGGTCACTCTTCGCGGTGCTTCTTCCGGCGGTCGTCGGGTCTCGTCGACCCACACCTCGTTCATATTCCTGAAAGAGACGAAAGATAATGATAATATATATAAAAATGAGACAACGGTCGTCGTGGCGTTACCTGAACGCTTCAGCGTACGGGTTGATGGCCCTCAACATTTCGTCGAGTTGCCGTAACACGCTCTCCAACAGATTGGCTCGGCTGCGATTGGCTTCAATCCGCGCCGCGGTAGCCTCCGTCGAGCTGATGAAGTACAACTGACAGTAGCGAGGCGTTGCCCCCCTCCTGTTGGGTATCGCCGCTCGGCTCATCCTGTGGTCAGTGAAAGTGTAAATAATGGGTAAAGTGTTTTAAAGTAAATAATTTGTCGGCAGGGTAATAAAAAAAAAAAATTACTTTAGGTAATTAATATATCTTAATTGTTATTATAATTTATTCGAGTGTTCCACAAACGTTAAAGTGGTGTGCTGACAATTTGTTTGATTAACGTCATATATCGTAGAAAAAAAGTAACGTATTGTTTTTATCGAAGTGTTATATATACTGTTCATACGCGTATACCACAATGTAGAAATGAGTTTTTCGCGAAAATACTGCTGAATAAATGTATATTAGTTGATGTAAACAGCCGTAAGAATCGATTGATTTGAATTGAAGTGGAATCGTTAGTAATAACGGTAAAAATTAAATTCTCTTTGATTAGATTTAATTCGACGGTTGTAGTCGTTTGAAACGAATAGTAATTTCGAAATATTTATCTGATCTGATATTGATAAACAATGAATATTAAATTTAAATAAGCTTACATATTAGTTTCCTAAGTGTTTACAAATGAAATACGAAAAATATTTTAAAACTAAAGTCGATGTAAAACTTGTAAACAATTTGTCAAGTGCACATACGATAAACGTTATGGAGTCTGGTTACTTCGTCAATGTGTATTTTATAAATTTATCGGAACAACTAATAAAACGGTGCGGTGTAATTGTAATGTATTACATAATAATAACTACCCAATAATAATATTGCCGATAAATTAGTCGAGGAACAAATGTCGCGTCCATTACCTGTGGTACATCTGCCCGTGCGCGGTAAACACACCGCCGGGCAAACGGCCCGGCTGAGCCTCGGCCGCTCTATCGGCTGGCGCGTCGTTCACTATGAACGAAGCGAACGCCAGCGCGCTGTTGTAAGGACGAATTTCCGCTCTAAAGGATCGCGATTGTGCCGAATCGCCGAGCATCAGGTCCTTCAACTGATCTGGAACAGGCAATAATACTTGGTCGTCCGCGAGGGCGACCAAACCATTAGAACAACACAAAGAAAAATAAAATCTCGCATTGTTACTAATACTTAACCTTTCCACGGCGAAATGCCGTGCGTTGCAGTGCGCACAAACGTAATTCATTGAGCCAATGCAATTCTCTTCCGGTAAAACGTCTCGCACGTGAGCTGTGAGTTCGACCGGTTGCACGGGTATCACTTCGACAACACCACCGGCTTGCTCTCGTTCCGGATTAACACCCTGTCGATCGTCCTGTGCACGTGAAATTGGATTTATAAAGCAGAGAATGTATATACAATAAATATGTAAAATGCATTGTTATAAATATTAAATTTGAAAAATATCACACGGAGTTAAATTGCTAAAATCTATTAAATAGTAACGGAATAATATATTCAATTATTATATAGTAATAACAATGAGTATAACAATAATAATTATGAACAACAATTTATATGTTAAGTGATATTTCTGACATTTTGATTTTTATTTATTTAATGTTGAATTAATATTTGAAACATTTGTTTAACCTTAAACAACATAAATCGTTTTCTGAGTAGTGTTGTATAGTAGCTTAGTGTACAGGCAAAGGTTATAAAACTTGTGTCGTCTAAATATAAATGAATAAATGATTATAATAATTAATGGTACTTAATGTCTGAGTGAACTTCGAGAAATATTACGCAAAGCAATTTGTTATGATCAATAAAATTATAATTGTCATTTATGTTCCATTTGAATAGTGTCGAACGAATGAGTACGTGTGTATATATATATATATATTGCAATGAATAACACAAAGAAATAACTAATTTTAATAATTTGTAATAGTAGTTTCACATGGAATTTAAAAATGTACAAACATTGAAAAACAAATTAAATAAATACTAAATAAGTAGAAGATACGCCGTTCCACACTAAATAGGCAACACAACAGTCGCGACGACCTACGGTACTGTCGCTAAATGAATGTTTGTAATTATTGTAAACAAAAAAAAGATAAAAAGATGTACTCCGTATTATAATATAATGAACGCCATGCTGTACAACAGATTCAATTTTATTTAAGCCAAATGCTATATTTAATATACTATTTATTGTAATGTTCGAAATAACTAAACTCACTTCGGACGGAGCGACGTCGAGGGCTGGTTCGTTTGGAACTCCGACGACGGCAAGCTACACAATGAGAGGAAAAAAAATAATAATTAATTAAAAGTTTATAATTCCATCGTATTTAAAAGCGATTTAATAAATTTACTGACGTCGTCCAATCCGACGTCGACATATTCGGGCGACGGTTCGACAGGTACTTCTACCACTTCAACCTACAGAATTGTTTGCGTACATAAAAATACAATAATATACAGTAAATTCATTATTATTATTATGCGTATAATGTTAACCAAATCGTTTTCACTGGCACCAACACCGCCAGCGACGACATTTCCTCCGGACGGTCCAGCATCTCCGACATCGTCGTCCATCAAGTAAACAATTTGAACCTATACGGTGCCGTTGTTTATTGTTACGGTTCGGGATGACGCGGGTACGGAACCTGACAGATTTTATACGCGATGTTTTTCGCAATAAAAAAAAAAAAATCAGACTATTGACGACGGCACGGGTAAATGGAAATGGAAAGGGGTTTTAGAGCGATGTGTATAGGAATTATACAACGACTGTATACGGGCCGTATGAAATATGAATAAAAGAACTGTCAGATTCCGTAACCGTACTACGATTGTCAATCAGATATATTATACAACTTTATTACATCGGGTTGCTCCGTGACATTGACCTTGATAGGAAAAACAAAATCAAAACGAATAAAGATAAAGACAATTAACGAACAGTTACTTACAGACGGTACGGCGTCCCGGATAAGCACCCTACGCACGACACTATTGCCGTAGTCGCTTGCCAGGAAATGCCGGGAGCACAAAACCGCATTGCGGACGTTTACATCCAGCGGATCGCGACCGCAAGTCGCGACAAACAACAGCCACAAATTGGCCCTTTGGGCATCTCTCGGAAACCTACGAATGCAAAATATCCATCAGTGAGAAGGAAACACGTCAAGTCGAGAACAATTAATTAATATACAGACTTGTGTAAAGTGACACCGTCAGCTACGATAGCGCGGCACAAAACACACGCGTGTACCATTATTTAAAAATTTAATTTAATAAATGCTATTATTACAAATAAACTTATAACAAATAAAAAATAGAGTTAAAACAATGTGAATTTTCAATTATGATCAACGGATTGAGGTGATAACGTAACGCGAGCGCATTGATGCGAATAATAACGGTTAAACGACCGAAACCGGGTCGTGGTGCGAGACACGGATATTAAAAAGTCACACAGTTCAAAGTCCAACTTACGCGTGTGACGAAATACACCAGCGGCCGTTTTGCCACGAATTTTGTAAAAAAAAAAAAAATGATTTGCATTGGTTAGGTATGCGCGTTTTAGGAAAAAAAAAAATGAAACAGATTTCTGTAAAATCGAACGTGGACCCTGGGGAGTGTCTTAGGGTCCGGAAGTACAGCAAAATAAGTAAATAGCGCTTTTTAATCGCGCCACAAAAAAGTCAACAAAAATCGGCAGCAGAGTCTCTTTGAAATTGGTTCAAATACTGACGACTCTCGGAGATTATAAAGCAACAAAGTCCAAAGTCCGATTTGGGAGTGGCACAGAATTCCCCTGTGATTGTAAAAATCATCATTGTAAAAAGTGTTCATCATCATGAAACATATATATATACGGCCTGTCATTAATAACTATAACTATTATTATTCGTCGGAGCATCCTAACGGGAGGCGTCAAAATTCTAAACGTGAGTATGCTATTCTAATATGCATGAGTAATTTTAGAAATAACATAGAAATAAAATTTGAAATTTCGCAGGGTGTTTTATATGTAAAAGTAAGAAACATGTAAGAAAAAATTGCCCAAGTAATAATAAACAAACATCCATTTTCCATTCACGTCTTTGACAATTTTTATTTTATTTTAGAACGGTATAAAAAAAAAAAGAACGTTGGCAAACACCAAAACACCAAAACACCAAAAGTCGGAGAAGCAATACGCCCAACCACCCCCAGCCGAAGTTGAAATGACGGAAGGTTTGTGATGCATAGATATAACACAGTTAGAGGTAGAACTGTTTCGATATTGTTTTTTTTTTTTTGTAATTTCTAATAAACTAAGCGTTGCTTTTTCAAATTGTGAGTGAGCAGTTCTGCCTCTAACACCAATCCAATAAATTCGTAATGTTACAATGTACAATTTTTTTGTTTCAGAATGCAACAACAGTACTTAAAAATTAAAAGTTATTTGGAATAAATAAAAATGTAACATAAAAAAAAAATAGTTATNTTGGAATAAATAAAAATGTAACATAAAAAAAAAATAGTTATTTATTTGTTCCCATGTCAAACATATAAGCGCATAATTACGCCGAAAAACGTTACAAAATTGTTAATTCTCTCTTTAGTCGATACGGATTAGTAAGTGAATGTTCGTGTATGATAATATAATATTGGAGAGTGCATAGAGTTAAAAACCTGTTTCAACGATATTTTTAAAAAAACGTTCATTTATATAACAAATGATAAAAAAATATTGCATTCTTAGAACAATATAGTAAGATAGTATAGTAAAACTTATTTATAAGTATTTAATAAAATGTGTAGGTTTTATATGACAACGGTATTTTCTTTAGAAAAACCAAACATTTGGATTAACAAAAAATATAAAAGTCAACCATGTCATAAAGACAACACATCAAATAATGCAATTATTGTGAGTTATTATTTAACTTGAAAAATATTTTTAAATAATAAACATCATATTTTAAGATTTTTTCCTTATAAAAGATTATTACGCTAAAAATTGTCCAAGAAAAATATAAAAAAAATTTAGGCTATACACAAATTGTCTGGTACCAGAGCTAAATAAACAGCTTTTACTTAATTATTCATTGATACACAATATTCATTTTAATGTATGTGATTTTACAGGGCCCGTTTAATTTTAATTTTATGACATCTGAAAACTAATTTAAAGATTTACATATGATGTTCCTTTAATTATTTACTAATTGTGTATAAAATAAATGACTAACTTAAAAAATGTTTTTATATAATAACAATTGAACTATTAAAATTAAACTACAATCGATGTGTTTTCCGTACGAAAAAAAAAAAGAAGCAAGTTTATTTGTCTCACTACTCAACTACTTTGTTATTAAAATTATAATAATTTGAAAGTAAGACTTTGTATGTTAATATAACAAACTCAATGTAAATGAAATTATTAAATCCATATCAAAACGATAAATAGAGAAACATCCTAAGATTTCAAATCGCTAATCCATAATGTGTGTTATACATACAAAAAATATTGGAGTATTTAATACACTGTCATGATTTTAAAAACATCTTAGTTTTGTACGATAATGGTATTTTTTTTTTAAGATACCATTAGCTCGAATTTACAAAAAATATTATAAAATTGATTCCATAATTTATTATGTGTTGTTCAGTTTATTGTGTAAACTGAATAGTATTTTAAATTATAAACTTGAAGGTTTCCACATAAGAACAATGAGTATATTACAAAAATTCTATATAACTTTCCACGTGGGGAATAACAAAAAACAAAATATTATTCGAAACTAATGTTAAAGTACGATTTATGGAAAATTCTGCAGTCGTTTTGAATGAACCCGGAGAGCAAACAACACTGTTCTTCACTTTGTGTCCGGCAGCAAAACGTCACCAAGAATAGAACAAAGACAATGGCCGTCAATATAAAATGCAATCTAAAAATAAAGAATGGAGTCATCAGAAAACAAAACTCCAAGAGGTTCAATAAAAAAACTCATACTGTACCTTTTTTGGTGAAGAGAAGACACCGCTTAAACAAAAATTAAGCACAGCATGGCCGTTCAACACGCCAAAGGTACAACAGTAGCAAAAATGTTTTGCGTTCCAAGTCGAGCACAGTCTGAAATTAACAAATCATAAAAATATTAATTAATACAGTCGTTGATGATGATATTGTACAACCGTCGAAAAATAAATATTTAATTGATGCGTGCAATTGCAATACACTTGTTGATTACACATTTTAATAAATAATCACGATAGAACTACAAAGATGTCCATGAGTGTGAATATATAAAAATTAAATATTAAAATTTTAAACAAACAAAAACTAATTACTTGCGTTATAAATTCATTAGAACTGGCACACTTGGCCAATGGTCTGAACTGTTATTCAAACGCAGTCTTCCAGGCTCTGTCCAAAAATTACAGACCACATTAATAAATAATGTCATGACAATTAATACAATACGCAAAATATAATACTATATCATAATTACATTTGCTATAAATCAATTGTCCATCATGTTCAAGAATGTAAATAAACATGTACTCTTGACCATTATTCAAAAGCATTCATCCAGACACAGTCTGAAAATTACAAAAACAAATTAATCAATACTGCCTTTACCAAAATAATAAAAATAATAATAATATATCTACGGTATTATTATTACAACTGCATTGAAATTGTCAATAACACGTTTCAATAAGAAATAATCATAAAAGGAATCACAAATATAAATGTAGTACACGCAAAAAAAAAAAAAATATATATATGTGTAAATATATATATATATATATAGATAGATAGATAGATAGAGAGAGAGAGAGAGAGAAAGACATTTTATACTGATGTAGTACATATTGCACCAAAAAATGAAAGACAAATCAAAATAATGATTAATATATGCAAAGTAAATCGGTTAAAATGTATAAAAATGAACTCTATTTTAAGAAAAGTCAATAGCAATACATTTCTTTTAACAAATGAAAATAAATTACCCGTGCAATAAATCCAATAGTGATGACAGCCAACAATCTACAGCTCAGTTATCCTGGCACAGCAGTGTAGCAGTCTGAAAATTACAAAAACAAATTAAATTAATACTGCCGTTTCCCTAATAATATATTAACAATTTAAAAATTATCATAATTCAAAAATAATCATAAAGGGAGCAACAAATACACGCAGACAANACAAAAGGGGGCAACAAATACACGCAGACAAAAAATTACAAATATAAAGATTGCAAAATTGAAATAATTTACAATACGCGTTAATAATTACAGTCGTTAAAAATAAGTATTTAATAATTATGGCAACTGCTGTACAACAATAGTCAATTACACATTTTAATAGATACTCGAGAACACCACAAAGACGTTCATGAGTAAACGCGATAACAAAAACGAAAGTATTCAATACACATTGCAGTCGCCAAGGAATAGATAAAATATCGACAGACAGCTTTATTTAACAAATAAAAATAAAGAATTACCCGTGTAATAAATCCGTTGTCGATCAGAGCCCCGGCACTTCAGGTCCAACAGGCCGAGCCGTTATCGAAGCATACCACGTCAGGACGCAACAAACGCCGTCTAAAAGTTGTAAAATCAAATAAATTAATACTGCCATTACAACGATTTTGAAATTATATCGATTACAATCGTTGTAAAAACGTCAGCGCACAGGTTTTTTTTTAACGAACAGAAATGCGTTACCCGTTTAATAAATCCGTTGTAGATTGTTAACAGCACTATTGATTAAGCCAGCACTCTCGGCCAACGGGTCGAACCATTATCGAAGCAGTCTTCCGGGCACACGACAAACGCCATCTAAAAATTACAAAATCAAATCAAATAAGACCGTCACAATATCGACAATTAATAATATAATCGCCGTAGTAGTAGAAAATTTACGAAATCACATTAATTAAAGAATACATATAATTAGTAGTCAGTACTACTAATGATAATAATAATAACGAAATAATGAGAAATAAACGACGTAGAAACGGTCGCCGACGATGACGACGGACAAAACGGCGGCGCGGTGATAACGAACACGTTTGGGGCGTCGGACGCGGTGATAACAACGAAAAGGCGGGAACGCGATCGGCCGAGTGGGAGGCGCGCTCCCCTATTTCGCGTCGTTTTCCGTTCCACGGAATCGCGAAAATCGCGAATAAAAAAAAACGGAGACGACGAAAAATTCGCGCGCCGCCAGGAAAAGACGCGGGACCGGAAGGGCCGTCGAACGGTACCAAAAATGCGGCGAAAAGAGAAAAACGGGAATTTTAACGGGCGAAAAACCGTAAAATTGTTCCAGAGGTTGCTTACGTGAGGGGCTTAGTAAAATAGGATATAGAGGGATAGTAATATACTAATATTAACGAGATGTTTTTCTAAGCATCTGGTGGTAGGCAATGATAAAATACTATGTAAAAAATAAAAATGCAGACGACTATGAACGTTATAATATGGCGGTACCTTTGATGTTGAAAATATGCTTAGCTAAGCGTCTGGTTACCCATTATAAGATTCATACGACATTACTGTGCGGTGACTTCTTTTATATTTGAAATTTGCTGACCTAAGCGTCTGGTAGACGATGATAAAATTCTTAGAATTTATTATGCCATAACAACAGACGTTGTCTTTGTTTTTATTAAATGTAGACGGTAATGTGGGTTATAATATGGCGGTACCTTTGACGTTAGAAGTATGTTTATCTAAGCGTCTGGTAGGCAATGATAAAATTCTTAGAAATTATGCCATAACGACAAACATTGTCATTGTTCTCATAAAATGCTGACGTCTATGAGCATTATAATATAGTAGTAATAATAATATAGTTGGATTCATCCCCACACATTATAGGTTCGTTTATGTCAAGATTCATTACCCCTTTCCTGTATAGGAATTGTTGACGGAGTCGTAGCGTTAATATTAAGTAAATATGTTAAAGTGGCAACGGCGGCCACTATTTGACGTACATTATTTCAATGTAATGTGTATGTTTACACGTACGCTTATCAGTTACCGTTATCAGTTCACATGAGGTTTACCTTACCCTCCAGTAGATGACATCATAGGAGGAGACAACCATTTCCGAATGGCTACCTACCCCACCACTGACATGAAGTTATAATGCGCATGCGCACTTTTAACCGCCATTTTGATTGACATTAACACCCCCACCTAAGTTACCTATTACCCCCACTATCGTGAGACCACGCCTCCCCTTTCCTCATCTATGATAAGACCACGCCTCCCCCTACCCCAACAATGATAAGACCACGCCACCCCTTATCCCAACAATGATAAGACCACGCCTCCCCTTACCCAATCAATGATAAGACCACGCCTCCTCTTACCCAATCAATGATAAGACCACGCCTCCTCTATGATAAGACCACGCCTACTCCTTACCCCCACCCTCATAAGACCACGCTTCCCCTTACCCCCACCACCGAGAAACCACGTTTATTGTTTGACCTTGACCACGGTCATTACCCCACACCATCGTGAGACCACTCCTCCACCATTTATAAGAACACACCTCCCCTTACCCATTCAATGATAAGACCACGCCTACCCTTACCCAATCAATGATAAGACCACGCCTTCTCCTTACACCGTCAATGATAAGACCACGCCTTCTCCTTACACAATCAATGATAAGACCACGCCATCTACTTACCCCCACCATCGAGAAACCACGCCCACTGTGTGACCTTGACATTACCCCCACCATTGAGAGACCACGCCCACTGTTTGACACGCCCCTCCCCCGACCACGCTCACCCACCGGGCGGTTGGGTACGTGAAGGGGTGAGGCGGGGGGGCCTAGAACTCTCTATTTTACCCTACTGACATTCTTGTTTCATCTTTTCCCTCGTCACATAATATACAATAAAAATCATTATTCACGTAGTAGTCTAGTCTGTAGTTTTCAGTTATACAATTAATTTCTATCCACCGACATTTATTGCAAGACACCCATTCCATATATTTTCCTTTGTGTTTATCCTCATGCTTTGAACAATATGGACATATATTTGTCATGTCTCCTGAAGTTTCCAACAATAATTTTTTTAATTCAATCCTGTATGTATCTGGATTAAACTCGCTGTCAAAGTTCAACTCGTTCATTATAGTAATTGCATAATAAATTACAAATACTACACAGTTATAATTATCAACTTGTCTTGGTATGTTTATGTCTTCATATTGAGTCTATGTAATAGTAGGAATGTGTCCACTTTTATAAGTGCAATGTTTATGCAATGCTTTATTTAGTTTTTGAAACCTTGAAGAATATATTCGAGCCTGATTACTATAATTGGGATCCAAATTTGGACAGTATGGATTTATGATGTAACATTTCCCTGAATTTTCAGGTATATTTTTGGTATTATAAATTGTTTTAAATTTTATAACAGCTATAATCCAATGACTTGGAGTGCTCTCGTACCATGGCATAATGACTGTACTATTTTCAACAAAGTTATACTTATTTGTTAATTCTTCATTCACTTCTGATTTACTTAAAATGTCAGACACTGTTTTTTAGGGACTTTAATAGCCAAACAAATGTCTATTATAAAGTTACTCAACCAGTTTCTTCCATTAAGACAAATAAAGTTCTCTATATCTAATGTTTGTAAGGTACATAAAGTATCAGGTATAATATGGTAATAAGTTCCAACCGTATAGTTCAGATGTTTCACTCTATCTCCAAACAAATGATTATTTTTCACTTTTTTCCATCTTTCGGATAATCTAATCTTAAGTTTTGTAATTACAAGGTAGTGGTCTGAGTCAGCGTCTGCTCTTCTATAACTCTGACACAGTATAAAGGTGTTTTTAATAAAATAAAAATGTAACACCGTTAAGTAGTCGATTAACTTTATTTTGAATTATAATAATATTATAAAAATTGGTGACAGTGAGGTGCGAAATACAAAAAGAAATCGATAATGCGCTGATGAAAAATCACACGGCACGTACGGCGGATGTAAGTCACTGGTGAACTAGTTTACATAGTCGCCGACGTGTCTCGCGGTGCTGAACCCCCTGACCTGTCCTATCTACCAACCGCCGGATAAGACAAACTTGTGTTATCGTCAACACTAATGAGTGCGACGCTGGACAACTGATAATCACGACCGGATAACGTGCTAATTCACGGTAAATGAATAGTGCGCTATTACGGGCCGTGTCAACTCCTGACACTTTTTATACATCCTTTATGTTTATTCTGTATCATCACGTGGTCGATCTGGTTTTTAGTTATTCCATTAGGTGCTATCCAAGTTTGTTTGTGTATGTCCTTCCTCGGGAAGTATGTACTACTAAGTGTAAATCCTTTTGCTAGACACAAGTTGATCAACCTGGTTCCGTTATCGTTACTTACGTCATGTAAGCTATTGGGTCCAATTGTGGGTCTGTACATATCCTCCTTTCCTATTTTTGCATTAAAGTCACCTATTAATATTTTGATAGAGCTATTCGTTGTGGAGTCAAGTATGTTCTCGAGCTCATCGTAGAATTCATTCTTAAGATTTTCTTCTTTCTCTTCAGTTGGCGCATATGCGTTTATATTAATATTGAAAATGCGACCTGCGACTCCAATGTAGCATATCCTGTCATTTACTGCGATGAATTCTTTTACTTGAGGTAATGTATCGTCACTCACTATAAATCCCACGCCATTTTCATATCTTCCATCATTTCTTCCGCTGTAGAATATTGTTTTATCTTCTTTTTTCATACTTCCATCGTTTGGCCATCTAATTTCATGTAGAGCTAGTACGTTTGTATTATATTTTTTAATAGTGTCCAGTAAGTACTGTAACGATCCCAGTTTGTTTAAGGTCCTAACATTCCATGTACCCATTTTTATTCCATTTTCCAATTCCAGTCGTTGTTCATTTATCCAATTCCGAGGCTTATATTGTGGTTTCTTAACACAATTTTCAATATTAACACAATCACTTATTATAACGCTATTATCTTTTAAATAAGGTTCAGGGGAAACAATTATTTCAATTTTGAATTGAATTGATTAATCTCTGTTTTCTTGTTTACCTCATTTAACAATAATGTTTCATTTATAGTTTGTTTCTCTGTTTTAGGTGAATCATTATTCAACCTTTTTTTTTCTGCTGATTTGGATATTGCTTGAAATGGGTGATGACCTATTGGCTTCAGATGCTTTTGTCGTTTTGGAGTTCTTCCCCATTTTTCTTCAGCATCTAAGTGAGCGTCATCAGCTTTACGCTTATGAGAAGTCTTATTTTGGATAAGTTCTTCATTAGTTTTACTTCTAAATTCGAGTTGCCTTTTAGCAGCACATTTTAATGACTTAGTAGCCCTCTTTTGCCTGATATTATGCATACATTGTTTGTACACATTCAATACATATCCTCTACAAGATTCTAAAAAACGTCCAGATTTCAATTTAGTCTGACTTTCTAATAAACTCTGTTTAACCGTTTTAAAATGAGATTCAACTGTTGCGTTGCTTTGACGAATTGTTATACCGTTATTTACTTTTATATTCATAACTGGTGTCCAAAGTGGAATATGGTATACACTTGCTAATAAACTCTTCTATGTAAGTTTCATCATAGTAAGAATTTTTTTTGTCTTATTCATTGTACGTTACAAGTTTATCATGAACTTCGCTTTTAATTATCTGGCATCTACAGTATAGAAGTGACCTGCTAGTATTTGACATACACAATTCTTTATCAAGTATTTCTAAATGGTCAATATCCTTTTCGCATACTTCCTCATCAACAACTTTACAGCTGCTTTCCATAATATTTATAGCGCTTATCACATCATTATTTAACGAAGGTGACATTAATATAAACACAAACATTTTAAACCATTTTTCAATGTCTTCAATAGTTTCAATATCAAAAAGTATACAAATCCAATTTATTATGCAATTTTTTGTGTTTTTCGTTTTATCAAGTATTGGTCCTTGATAGTATTTATAAACGTGGCTTACAACAACTTTTGTGTAATGATTTATGCAAATATTA